GCACCCATCTACAGGCACCTGCTCTCCCTCCTCTTTTTAGTGCACCTTCTTCACCTCCTCTTTCCACCTTTCACACATTCTTCCCCTCAAACTCACTTCATCCATCCCAGTCCTTCCATTTCTCCCTCTTACCCAACCTCTCCCCACCTTTCCCACGCCCTTCTCTCTCTCTCTCTCTCTCTCTCTCTCTCTCTCTCTCTCTCTCTCTCTCTCTCTCTCTCTCTCTCTCACACGCGCGCGCGCGCACGCGGACACACACACACACACACACACTCTCTGTGACCCGAGGAGGTGGCCCTCTAATTATCCCCACTTCTGAATTCTCTTCATTACAGATGCAAGGGCGAGAATATGCATGAATATGAAGAGTCAGACGGACATATCCTCTCCTACATTTTCGGTCATCTTCCGCTTGAACAGATGGCGTCACTGAGATCGGTCCAGCCTCTGTCTGCCGAAAACAGCTACAACCGTCTTTCCAGCATGCTCCTGACCCTTCCAGCTTTTCTGATGCTCAGCTCTGACTTCAACCCATAATCCTTACAGAGGCGTCATCGCTTCTTTGATGCTCATCATTACACACCCTGCTTCCATAATCATGTTACCATGCTCCATCAACCTCATCATCATAATCATGCCAATGCAGATCACAATCCTTGGCAAATCTCCCTTCAGTTTGCAAATCCAATCTTCAATTGATAACCCTCCACACCTTCCACTCTACAGATTACTGCCTCCAACACATTAACCGATGTCTCGTCCGTGACTGCGTTCTCTATTCTCATCCCGCTCTCTCCCACATCCTTCCTCCCGCAATGCTGCACGTGGCAGTAGCACGTGTCAATCAACCAATCAATGAATCAACCAATCTTATCAATCCTTACCATCCATATACCCATCAACCCATCAATTTATCCATTCATCCATCCAATCATCGCAGATGCAAAGAGTCCCTTCTCCCTGTGTTCTATACACCCTGGGCCCGGCGGACGGACAATTCCCCCGTTCACGGAATGCCTCCCCTGAACACAACCCACCCTCATCATGATCATATCCAACCAGAAAGGGAGCTAGTATGCATTCATGATGACGGTGCATTGCGGTTGGGGGAAGGCGGCATCACCCAGACAATGGCAAGTGACTATCCACATTCTCCAAGGGGTGATGCATGACTACAAGTCATGACACATGACTTAAGGTCATGCACACACACGAAAAACTGTTTCGCCTCAATAGGATGAAAATGAAAGTACAGTCCTCGTGAAAGTGCCCACCAAACGAGTTCTTTAATACATTTGAAAACCTGTTCTTTAACTTCTCTTCAAAATCCTTCCAAAATCCCTACCTGTTGTCCAACCCAAGTTAGAAGTCACTTCAAGGCTGTCCCCCATTCAGCTGGCAGAAAGCAATATGGGTGCATCGGCAATTCTGGGCCAACGGAAATACCAGCCTCTCTCAAGGGATCTCTCTCTGCTTGCTTCCAGTTCCAACTTTCAAAGGGATTGGCCCCTATCGATAAGGAATCCTACAGCTCTTAAACACTGTATCAACAGTCGTGCACTGTAGTGTCTCACGCCTTGTGTATGTATGTTCTCACAGATCATAAGACACCTATAAATCAATGGAACAGGGCGAGAAATGCCAACGGAATGGGATCACAAATCTCAATGGAACAGGACCACAACTCATGGCTCTTTGTCGAGTACCACAGCTTGAGTGGACATTTGCAAAAGAGTATTTTTGTGGGGAATTTATGTTTTTTTCAGATTTTCAATGTTGTTGGTTCACTATGTGCAACTCTACTGAAAAAGGATAACTGTGGCACAATGTTTCGTTGTATGTTCCAGCGACTGCTTTTTAAGTTTTTTTGCCTCTTCTTCTTCTTCTTTTTTCTTCTTCTTCTTCTTCTTCTTATTATTATTATTATTATTATTATTATTTGTGAGAACCTGCCCAAACATGGGCTGAGAACACAGCTGATTTCTGGGTTTTGCCGCTGGAATGAATGCCTTGCTGAGATCCCCGCTTTCTGCTGAGTTTTCTAAATCTGTGTGTGTGTGTGCTTGCTGGTCTGCGCGCCTATTTGAGTACTTGACGGCTTGAGTGTGTGTGTGACCCGCAAGGGTACTCGTTTGCTTGGGAGGCCCGTACGACCAGTACTTAACTGTGGCCGTGACATTCAGGGTTGCAGCAGGGAAAACACTCAAGTGGCGAGAGTATCCCCACGACACTTAGAACAGCGGAGAAAAACACTCAAGTAACAGGTAGGCCAGTACCACTCAAGTAGCGGTAGATATGTAGGGGACTGGAAGCTGAGCAGAAGAAGACAAAAGTTGGCAATTTTAGAGGCCCAGTAGTAAGCTAGGTCTAGGCGGGCACCAGTCCAAGTAGCCTGAGTCTAGGGCCGGTACGAGGGATATCAGAGTCTGCAATGATGTTTCCCTCCGAAAGGGCAGAGGTTCCGTTTGCTTGGAGGCCATGCGGCCTGGAAGTCACCACCCAAGACGCAAGTTGGCCACTATATCTCCAGGAGGAGCGAAGTGCTCCTTGTTTGCTGCGTGCAAGTTTGGACGTCACGCTGCTGGAGCACCGGAGGAGCAGCTCTAGTGTGCAGCGCTGTGTGGGGAAGAAGGGCGCCCAACTCCCCACCTTGGCTATGGTGGAGGAGCTCCGGCTGGAGGGGGAGAAAGAAGGAGACTAGGGTAGGGGAGCGGCAGAGGTCGTTATTGTTATGTCTGGATGGCCAGCTACATTCTGACAAGTGCGAACACGACATTATTCTTCGCCCAGACCAGGGAGGTTTGCATCTCCAAGTCCAGTTAGGATTTTCATGAGAAACAGCTCAGTGCCAAAAAGTCTGCAATGACCTCACTGTTCCCCAAAGATCTAATGGCTTTCATTATTTTGTCATCCGCACGTATATGTCTGATTTGCTGCAGTTCATGCCTGGAGCTGAGATGCAAGCCCCCTGGTGCTTATACGAGATGAAGCTCAAAGAGTGGTCGTTCAGTAGGATGCTTCGTGTCTGCTCGCTCTGGCCAGACCCTTCTGCTCCTCATGGCCTAACTTATTTTCAAAGAGTAGGAACTCCGTAAATGTTGAAGCAGCCAACAACTGCTTAGTTTGCCTTGCCCGGCCAACCGACCGACCACGTGCCAACGGATTGAGATGACGAAGAGAACGACAAATGATGAGGCAGAAGAGACGAGGAGAAAAGAAAGAGGAGATGTTGAAGGAGGCGATGAGATGAAAGGCGGAAGAGGGGGGAAGGGGATTGCGGGGGGCACAGGGTTGCGGAACAGAGTAGCCCACTTGACTTTGGACAGGATTTGGAGTCTTCGGCTGAGAAGACCAATCAACAGTTAAGTTATGCCAGTACGCCGTTCAAACACATGGCAATGCTAATGTTCTGGGAGGTATATGTCGTTACAAGAACTGCAAGCCAGTCCAACCAGTAATGCAATCTCCCACCCATAATTTCCCATGTAGGACGACAGGACCTTGCTACATAGATGACTTTTCGGCTTGGTGCCAAGCCGAAAGCCGAAAAGGGCTAACCACACGAACACAGCGACCACCGCACCAAGACACACCGACCAACGCAGTATATCCACCAACTGAACCAGTTCGCTTTGAGGCACACACCTCTGCAGAAACCGGCAAGCGTGACGAGGAAGGTCGGATGATGTTGAGCCCTGTACAAAATTACACCCTCTTTGGAGCTGGTAGGTTCATTACACGTATGCATGTTTCTATGGACTGGACAAGCCGCTATATTAATTTCAATGTGTGCTATTTTACGTACAAGAACATCGAGACAGAAACACTACTTGGTTTCACAGTAATGTTCTTTTGACATTATATCGCACATTTCACCAGAGAATATAATTTCAAGTCCTTGTACGATAATGAATTATATCACACGTTGAAATTTGTAACACTGCTGGATTGTAGTAATCTTCTTGTGCATTGTATCAAAGATTGAAACGTTCGCCACCGTGGTAGGCAGGGAGGGAAACAGACCAGGACTGTAGCAATCTTCTCTCTCTTTATATCCACCTAAACATGTCCTCGACGTAAACTATATCATCCCGAGTACAAGAACAAAATGTGACACAATGTCCAAGAAAACTACTGCACTGTACAGTTGCAAAGCCCAGTGTCTTATAAGTCTATTGTCTTGCAACGGTGGATTCACAAGGGTGCATACCACCGTACAACACTAAGATTCACTAACGCAGAAGAAAAGTGCAACACCTGGAGAAAAAGTGTGTTCCAATTAACATACTTCCACCCTGAGCTGGATTGACATGGTCGTATCTAAAACTGGTATACAGATTGTAAGCCCCTATCAACATCAATCGACATCTATACACAATCAATCTACACCTCTATACACAGATGATGCACATATACATATATCTACAGCAGTGTGTCTGGAGTGCGTTTTCTGGCTGTGGCAGAACTTTTCTTGGATTATTTTGAGGCCCGTAAACGATTGTGACTTCTTGACAGTTTGGCTATGCTCCATATGACCATGTCTGTCAACAAATCACTAGAGCGATGTAAAATTGGTCTACACCGCCGTCTGTCTATACATGGTAGATCTATTAACACCTCTACACACAGCTGATGTACACTGTGCATATATAAACATATATCTACAGGAGGGCGTATGGAGTGCGTTTTCTGGTTGTGGCAGAACTTTTCTTGGACTATGCTGAGACCCATAAACTCTTCTTAGGGCTTCTTCAAAGTCTGGCCATGCTCTGTATGTCGATCTCTGTGCACAAGCCACTAGATTGATGTAAAATTTGTCTAAAGCCGAGCCCCATAAACTCTTAGGGCTTCTTCGAAGTCTGGTCATGCTCTGTATGTCGATCTCCGTGCACAAGTCACTAGATTGCTGTAAATTTTCTCTACTCCTCAATGCACATATATATCGTCACATAAATTCAGAGCACAAAGGCGGAAAAAAACAGAAGAAAACAAGAAAAAAATAATTCGTTTTTTCATCTTCTTCCTTACAACTCCCCCTGTTCAGAACCTCTTATGTATACATTATCATGGTACATGTTCGTTCCAGTCTACATACATGTCGCAGTGTAGTCATTGCAGGACTGAACAAGATCAGACGACTAATAACGCATAGATGCACTTGACAGCACCCCTCACCCAAGCAGCAATTCCACTTTGGGGCACTGGCGGATTAAACCGCCAGTACATGGCCCCAATCGTGTGGAGATTTGCTTGTCGCTTACTCCGAAAGTTTTGCGCCTCCAGCCTACCAGACCACAATGGTTGGCAGCACCATCCAAAAAGGGAAAAAGTCCGCCGCTGGCACTTCGGAAAAGCTTGGCATGCACTGCAGCACCTCCAGGCCCAGGTGTACTGGAGGTTTAAGTGACCGCTCCTCCTGAGTGACGAAGAAAATTCGCAGTTGGGAACTGTGGGCCCCAGCTAGGCTCGAAAAACAGGCAAGGCACAGGGGTCCAGCTGGAGTGCAAATTGAAAACTGTTCCCATTCAAAACGCCCGGTCATTGCCTATGTATCTGGAATGAAAGTTTGGCCCAAATGCAGCTATAATGACCAGGAGTTCTACTCGGGCGAAGATGGTAGGCTTGCGGTCCGGCAACAAAAAATGAGTGGTGGTTTATACCACCACTCCAACGGCCCCTCCACTTCATTTCTCGTCTCTACAAGTACCGGGCCCAAACCTACAATGCTCAGGCCCGATA